GTCGCTTTGTAGCCGGGGCCAGATAACTTTTACCATAATTGTTGATAAGGTTGTCATGTACCGAAGGGCTCGATGTCATCAGCACCACAATGAATTTATCCTGTAGTGGAGTCCAAAAAGTTTTCCAAATAAGCCCAAATAAGCTCTACGGAATGTGTCTGTAAATCTGAATGACATGTATTAGCAGCCTGAGCCAATATAAAAATGTGACAAAGGCTCCAGACCAACCGATCAAACGGTTAGCATGTAATAAATGGTGAACAACCGGTGCCAGAAAATTAATAGAGTAAAATAGACCAGAATCAAATAAACCACCGCGATTTGTCGATCCTAAAAACTCGGCATGGAAAATATTATGCGTTTGTATGTTTCCGGAGGACGCAGTTCTTAAGTGCGGTCGGAAGGGGTGGGGGGGGGGGGGGGGGGGAGGGCTGGGGCCCAGGTGCACCCTTAGGCCCATATTATTTTCTTAAGCGAGCGCCCACTTTCGAGGCCAATTTTTTTAAAGCATACACTAGTGAAACATCAGGACCAGTTACGTCTAATGATCTCACTGGGTAATGCCACGCAGCACCGTCAAGACATAACATGGATATAAAGCTTAACTATTCCCTAGTCCAAACTACACAGTCAACGCTTTGTGACCAGAATTGCCGACTTTGGGTGTAAAGCAACACCCTATCAGGAGGAATTTTCATTCCTTTTCCCCCATATTTTGTGTGCATTTTTCACTCCTGCCTGACATTGTCTAATCACACATGCCAAACCCCTACTTCCCTTTCTGAGGTTTTCAGATGTCATCCAAAACCGAGCTCACTTAAAACCACCAAGCATAAACGAGGCTCCACAGAACCCGGACACCTATGGCTATGTCCTGCATCACATACATCTGAATCATGTCTATACATGCACAGAGCAAGGGCGCCAGGTACCTCCAAGCCCAAGAACCCCAGCGACTCCAGCCGCTTGCACGCATTAAGTTTGGTTTGTTTACAAAATGCATCACAACTGGCAGATGTGTGCCAAATGCAAGGTGTTCACGCATCCCCTATTTTTTTGGTCTCACCACCACACCACGAAAGTAGAGCTTGGCGCAAACACCAGCAAGGCCTGGTAGATAATTTTACTCAACGTATTTTTTATTGCACCACTTCCGAAATGCAGGAGTGAAAAATTCATGAAATGAATTCTAGATTAAATTTACAAGATGAATATCACCATGCGAGCACATCTGTTAACAGATTCTAAGTCAAATCAGCCGATTACAAAATTTTGCCACAAAAGTATCAGTCTTTATATTTATGTAGCTACTTTTGTTTTTCTTGGTATCATGCGAGTGCGATGTCACTTTATTCATCTTTTTTGATTGACTTTATAGACACCATCTGTTGCTTAAGATGTTGACCATTTTCTCTTCAAGATGCTCCAACTGCAAACTTGTACGTATTTCATACATAAATTGGATTAACTCGCCAGTCGCCCAAACATCCTCGATATGCACTCAAGAGTGAACAATTCACAAGGAACGAAGGAGACAATTTGAAGCACGGAACTTATCTTTAACGTCATTTTTGCCCTGTTAAATGCTCGGTTAACCGTTTTCTTGGTTCATGGCGGTGTTCAATAATGATAAATCTAAGCCTTTCGAGCGTCTAACTCACCAGGCTACCTGACAAGGCTACCCTAATGCTGCCATACAGAGCTTTGGGACAGACCTGACGCAGCTAATACGGAAGTGTTTGATTGCGAAATTCTGCCCAATGGAGATGTTTATCATACACACCTCTTACTTGTTTCGCATTTTAATCTCGTAGGTTGGTGGGCACGACTGATATTTATATTTTTGGGGGGCGAGTGGGATGACTCTGTCTGCCAGCAGACCATGCACAAGGTACTGACTTTGTTGTGGGGATCAGGAAGAAGCCAGTGAGTCTCCTGTGGACCAAGTGATTGCTTACCTTACCTGCTTCCAACACATGATTGGTAACCAGAGTTAGCCATGTTCTGTTCTAATCCATCGAATTTTGTCGCAAGACAAATTATGATGCCACGAGGCATGCAATGGGTTTATTTTGTTCCATATTCTGGATTATTTGTCCCCAATTTCTTGAAGTGGTCCCTCATGGCTGCTTTAATCAGATGTTTTCTATAGTTGTCATGGTTTGCTGACTGGCAAATAACTGTTCTGTAGAAATGCACTATATTTTTAACGCAGGGATACTATAGGCTGCATAGCAATTATAATATGAGTTCAATATTAGTATGTATCAAATAGTCAGACCATCCCATTCAAGATGTGAAGCCATCATCTCAAACTTTGTCATTAAATATGGATAAACAAGCCTAAATAGATGCAATTGCTGCAGCTGAACAGGCAAGCAGCAATACCGGCATGGTCATCTAAAAGTTATGTTACTTTTGGAGAAGAGAGATTGTTTTGTGGAGCATACTCATTATTGTTTTGGTTATATGTTGTCAGCTTTGCCTGATGTCAACAAGCATACGCAAATGAACTGAATAAAAATGCAAGTTGAAGCCAGCCAGAAATTAGCTTTATCATGTTTTTATTACAAGCGCTGCTGTCAACAGATAGGTGAGTTGAGATGATGTTCAACATATGGGCTACTCTAAGTTAGGTTAAGTTGGTTAAGTGCATGGTAAGTGGCAATAGGAATTGTGCAAGAATCAGTAACTCACAAATGGTGCTGTGATACAAACATGCTAGACAGGATGAGATGAAGTGAGGCCTCTTTAGGTTAGGCACAGTTAGTCTACTTTCATGAAAATAAGCATTGGTGTTTCGTAAGGAACAGTGACAAAATGTTTGTCTTCCCCGACCCCGTCTTAACAGAAGCCAGAGGTCTGTCTATTGTGTTTGACTTGGTGATGGGCTGATGTGTGGGAGTCCAAGTTCTTTTTGCTTCGGTGTTTTATGCTTGTTGAATTTTCTGTTGTTATTTTGTTATTGAATTCCTTTCCTTTGTTTTGTGTTAAAAGTGCTGTGGAAGGGAAGAGCAAAGTACAGCATCAAATTATTGGTGTTTATAATTTTTATGCTCATTACACTGCCATGAAATTTCCATGCTCTAATGTATTCTGGTTTACTTTAATCGCCTAGCATGTTAAAAAACAAAACAGCTTTGTCAGGTTTCTGATATAACGTCCAGCCAGTTTGAAATAGATGTCTTTGTTTGCTGAAGAATCAGTCACGAGCTCATAAGTTCCATCTTTTGTGAATTGCTTTTATCATTCCCACGCGGTCTTTTTGCGACGGATTTTTTCACTCCCACCCTAGTTCAAAAGCGATCCTAGCTCCCTGTTTGCGACAGTACTACACTCCTTTCCTGCAGTTGTGACCACCATCGTCATGACAATCGCCATGCACACCTCTCCTGGTGCGAATAAAAGAACGTTTGTGATTGACCCGGCGGGCAAGGGCCTGTTACCCAGAAGTTGGCTGGTTGAAGGTTGAATCAGTGCCTTACTATCATCATCGATCATGTGATGCTCCCGGTTTGAGCCACTATCGATCGTGTGATGTTCCCAGTTTGAACCATATCATCATGTGATGCTCCTATTCCCAAAGCTGAAGTGTGACTAGGGAAGAGCCCCTGTGGTAAACCATGTAGGGGAGAAGTAGGGGAGGAATCAAAGCCATGGTATAACTTTTCGTTGAATTCGTGGAATAACAGCTTAATCTCCGCATGTCTCTTAGTCTAGACAGAATGTTTCAAGTTTTCGTAGCACTCATTACACAAACATATTGACACATTAGTGTTTTCCAAACATCAAACAGTCTGAATGAGTCACAAAGCTATGGTTCAAAGCAAAGCTTATGCAAAGCGAACTTCACAAACGTCTCTTTGCAGATTACATTCAAGGCCAAAATCGATCGTGGTGATGAAACATCTCGCAGGGTAAAAGTAATGAGACAGCAACCAGTGCCCACGGCCACAGCCAGCGCACCGGCAGTTGACTCCATTGCATCAGACATGTGCGGGATATCCGTGGTCTGGACGTACCCACCAGCAACCCAAACACGCGAGGCCAGGTCCATGGCATATGCCGCCACCACCTACTGACTTCATTAGAGCCCTCTCGCCTGACGGTGATTAGTGCCCACCTGGCACGCGCTATCGCGGGGTCGTAATGTCTCCATGCATGGGGACGCCGGTGTGAGGGCGGCCAGTGCCGCCGTCCGGTGCTTTCTCATGACAGCCGAGCCAAGCCAGGCTCATTTGGTATGCGCCGACGACAGGCACATCGACCATGACGTCACCCCCCCCCCCACCCCGCCTCCCCCCCTCCAGAGAGGGCCCGTGCGTAGCCACGTCATCAAGACGAACCGCCAGCTTAAAAATGATCAGCAAAATGGCCAGATTATGGCGCGTTGCGGCTGTCCTGACATCGGCATGAAGTGTTCATTTCCGGCGGTTTTGTGCGGGGCAATTAGAATGCGAGACTTCCGCCCAGCGAGGAGAATTCACGCGACGGCAACGGCCATCCTTTGTGTCATTTGCAGCATGGAAGTGGCTCAGGGGAGCATTAGGCTGAGTGCCTGCTGCAGGTCTGGTACATGCCGATGTGTCACAAGATACCAGTTGATTCAATGTGAGGCTGGGACCTGTCAGCCATACACCAGCCTACAGTGTGAATTCGGCCCGAGCATGTGACTTTTCTGGAACGTTTGACACAGACGTAAAGGCAACAACGCTGTTAGTGTTCGTCCTGAAAATGCCACCTGCACTGCGAAATGGCTGGCCTTAATCGCTGGGGTGCTGCCTGAACAAAATTGAAGTGCTATTTGAAAGCATACAAAAAATGAGACAGCTAAAAACACAATACAAGAACGGCTATATGAATGAACGAAACAAATTGCATCATGATACCCGTATGTTCAGTGGAGACAACAAAGTGAATGAGAGCAACTTATTTACATCCAGATACAAGTCCAGTCAATGCAACCTTTCAGCAGCATTGCCCGTCTGATGACAACTTACCTGAAAGTCCACCAAATGTCGAAGCTCATTGCGTTGAGCCAGAAGCAGACGGCCAGGAACGAGTAGTACATCACGATTGCTGCAAGGAAATGAGCACACATCAGTGCGCAAGTGCACACACGTACAGACGATACCTCCCGTACCATGTACACATACCTTGCTGTCCACGCGAATCCACCTGCAGTGGATTCAGATGGACCATCGTTGTACACGCACCGCACGTGTTCAGAGCAGAAGTGTGAATTCGGATAGCCTTGCCGGGGACAGATAACGCAAAAGCACCAAGGGCAGCGCAACGCGGCGATACAAAACCCGAATACGGAAAGCAAAAACTGGATGTCTGGTACACCAGAGATATAAATCAGTAAAGTGGAATACAAAATAGCTACTGGCCGAAAAACAAATGGATGAAGTCGACCTTAAGTTCTGCTGATGCCTATTAATCAAGGGATAACTACAGACGCCCCACTCCGAATAACCAGGACTCTGCACAAGAAGACACATGTGGACAATCACTGAATACAATCAGAAACTTTCATGACCACACCAAATCTAGTAAGCTGGAATGTTCGAGGCCTAGACCTATTCGCATAAAATCCTCAAAAGATCTTGCTGTGCTCCAGGTGACACCTTCAACCTTAGCTTGCGAGCAGTGGTGGAAGAGCGTTTTCGCATGGTAATAGGATCTCTAATCATGCATGTATTCTCGTTTCCAGAAGATCCGTAGGCTCGATCGAGACGACTGACTGCCATGCACTTTTAGTGAACGGAAGGATACCACTCGTCAAGGTAGAAGCTAAGCAAACCTTAACCTAGCTTAAGTCATGGTTGCATTATTATGCTCGTACGCACCATCTCAATCGGTGGTAGAACAAATTGATTTCTTTCAAACGCGGGGGAGATCTTAAATGCGCAGAATAAGTTGTCCAACCTGATAATAACTGTCGATTTAAATGTGCACTTAGGTAGCACTGATGTGGACAAATCACAAACAAGAATACAGCGGCCTGTGCAGATCGTTAATCAAAATTATTAGTGATTAAGGGTTGATAGATATCCAATCCGTTGAAGCAACAGCTCAATTCGTCGAAGCAATCCAGGATTTATTACTTAATGTTTAGCGAGGCGATTGGTCATACTCAGAAAGCCACTGGGCGTAGTACAAAGCCGAATAGTTTCAGCGACCACGATATTGTAACATTGCAGATACAGATGGCAAACATGCAGTAACGTGGCCTACGTTTTTGGAAATTGAATACCGACCTATTGTATGGTAGTGAGTCAGCAGCTTAGATGCGTCGTTAAACTCTTGCTGCCGAGTGTCACGTCGGAATTTATTCGGATTGCAGCCTAGGGCTATTACTTGAATTACCTTAAGTAAAATAAGCGTAGTGTGCGTGAACGAGGGTAAAAAATTAGCCCGAGCTAAGAGAGTCCGCGAAAAAAAACCAGGAAGATAGAGTGTCTCGGCAGAAACCCCTAATTTGGGACTATTGGAAAAACAAAAGCAGGGTTGGGAAAAGAACCATACTCTTCTCGGAGATAAATTAGTTGGAAAATGATGAGAAGCCGACTCGGTATTTCTACACACTTTTTCAAGAGCAGGCGGCGGAGAAAGTAATCCAGATGCTGGATAGTGGACTCGGTTCAGCTGTTATGGGAGACGAAAACATTCTTAAAAATTGCCGACCTTCTGACGTCTGCATAGTCAAACAAAACGTCTCATAGGCACGTATATTTCGTGGATGATGTCCTCCAGCTGGCAGGGAAGGACCGTGCGTTGTGTGAGAGAAGAATTTCATATGACAAATAAATATGCATTTAACATAATGTCGGGAAAAAGTAACGTCTAAATCCGGTTTTACAAGGTAATTTTTCATTGATTTTGGGAATGTATGGGTGGCCTGGCCGCTGATTAGATTAATGGACCATTTGACACAGAATTATTGTTTGATACGCAGCGTCGTGGGGTGACATCGCTCATTAATAAAAAGGTAATCAAAGTCTGTTGAAAAATAGGCGTCTGTTTGCCTCCTGGGTGTTGTGCATGAGGTCATTGCTAAGGTTCTCGCGATATGGTTGAGAGGGGTTATAGGAACAGTGGTCGATTGGGATCAAAATGTATTTATCAAAGGAAGAAATATTCTTTGTAATTTGGGGGACATACAGGATGTACTTGACGATAGTTCAAGTTTGTTGCGTGCTTGAAAGCGGTATTCAATTCTGTTGAGCAAGATTTCATTTGTATCATACCGCGACGCTTTAATTGGGGAAAGTTTCGCGAAGTGGGAGCAGCTTCCATGCAATCGTTCAGAACTTACAAAAATTAACAACGGATACGCCTCTCATTGGTTTTTGCCTCAAAGGGAAATTACGCAAGACCTCCTCTGAAATGGTTTTGGCACTGGCGGTTGAAACCTTATGAGTCAAAATAAGGACGTCTAATGGCATAAGAGAAAGACAAATATCTGGGCTAAAACTAAGTGTGTCGCGGTACGCTGATGACATCCCACCTTTTGTTAAAGACGCGGAGTCTATGCTGGAATCGCCATGTCTGTTAGAATAATTTTGGGGGCTTTCGGGCTGGGGTTAAATTGAAATAAAACTAAGTTTACGAGGCTGGACCGCTGCTGTTCAAATGGGTTAACATTGTGTGGTAATCAGCCCTGCGAGAAAGTTAAGAGCTTGGGCACTTGGTTTTCTGCGAAGGACAATTATGCAGGACATAATTTGAATCCTATTATGCATTATATCAACGGAATGCTGCATTCAAGGCCACAGAGGAATCTCAGCTTCACGAGTACCATAAATGTGGTCAAGAGTTTGATGTAGAAACTGAATTACATAATTTCATGCTTTGTAATCCCCAACCACATCCTCAACCAAATTTAAAGTTGCATAATCAGATTTACTTAGCGTGGTCTTTCACCGAAGATGGCTCGTGATATATTTTAACAGCCCATTAGGCCACAGTGCTTGGGAGCAGCTTCAATACTCAGCTTAAGCAACGCATTGAAGCTTAATTGGGTCATTCGGCTTCTAAACATAACGTCCAAGTGTTCATCAGCACTCATGGACAGCGTTGCTTCTCTGCCATTAGTATATTTTTCCGAAATAAATGCAAGCTAAGTGCTTTTTACGCCAATTCACAGGGCTTAAGACCTATGCCCTGCAGGCATTCTGGCATGGGGAAATTGGGTAGAGGAGATACTGTGGTTTAAGGTGTGCACTCTGATCGACATAAGGCCGGTCCTATACCGTCACTGGGAGAATCATGGCATATGATTTATTGGTGATTTCGTCACAAGACGGAGGAGATACTTGACGCACTTCCAGTCACGCACCATATCCAGACTGCAAGGTTGACATGCTTTGGTACCAAGGACTTGTTGGTGCGATTTCCACAATATGGAAGACTTTTTGCGTGATAGAATAATGCACGAATGTATGTCTATGCAGGAAGAAAAGCCCAAGTCAGCGGTAAGCTATGGATGCGAGAGAAACCATTAGTAACTTCCAAGGCAAAGGATTCAAATCGCATGGGATTAACGACTCGCGAACCAAAAGCGCTGCGAAAAAGGGCAGCTGACGACGTAGCGGCCGAATGTCGGTCCGAATATGTTGACATACCTTATTACTATAGTGCGTCTACTCAGCCCTATTCGTTCCAATCTTGGGTTGGGCACAAGTACGTTCCCACCAAACGGTTTTTGTATGTAAGGCCCGTTACAGACTCACAGTAATGCACGTGTTGTGGGAAAGATGACGCTCTGGTTCATTAGCTTTTCAGCTGTCAGTTGGCTCATGCATTTAGGTGCGATGTTTTCCGGGCCATGAATCGGGGGTACGGGCCAAGTCGTTGAATTAACAGTTTTAGTCGAGCATCAGCCTGGTCTCTACCGCCTCTTGATAGTAGTATGCCTCGTCAAACCTGACAGCAAACCTATCTGCCAAAATTTTTAAAAAAGAAATGCCGGAGGGACTGAACAAAGCAACGCGCGTTAAATACTACCACAATACCTACACGCTATCACAGGACAACTTTTGCCCGAGGCTAAATTTACCTTATTCATAGAACGTGAAAGACGCGAGATAGCTTCCGCGAGTTGGACCACGGGACGACTCGCGAGTGTCGTGGGTGCACGAAGCACGTGGCTGTGAGCTGCGATAAGCGCATGGCAAAAGCCCTCCCGCCCTCTGCCACTTGGCATCGGACGAATGATTATGGGCAAGCCGTGACAGCACCTGTGGTTGGGACCATAGCAGTGCTGACCGGCCCCAGTCACTGACCCGTGACCTCCGTCGACCTGTGACCTCAGCTGACCAGTGAAGTCAGCTGATCTGCGACCTCAACTAACATATGAACTCGGCTAAACCGTGACATCATCCGCCACGTGACCTGCCACCTGACCTGTGACTGACCCATGACGTCCGCGGCGCCATCTCCCCCACTGACCTACCTGTGACATGGCAGAAGGTCATGTTGGCGTAAACCGTGCGCGATTGAGCGCTCAAGAGGCAGACGTAGGCGGTGAAGAGCGCGGCCACGTGCGACAGCAGACACCGGCCATGCACGTTCTGCAGCTCTGGAATGGCCACGTAAATGACGAACGTGACCAGCAGGCAGAGCGCCGACACCACCAGCAGGAAGCGGTACACGTAGGTGGCCGTGTACACGCTGGCCAGCGGCTTGCCGAAGCAGGCGATGGCATAGTCGTAGTCGATGCTGAAAGTGCTGTTGTAGACGTAGCGCGCCTGATCCACGCAGAACTGCGACGGCGCGAACGATGTGCTCTGCTGCGGCACCCAGAGCGTGCCATCACGCTGCAAGTAGAATATATCCTTGTCGTCGTAGGCCGGCTGCAGCGCGAACACCCTGCCGTAGGCGCCCGCCTCCGACGGACCGCACACGGGGTTGCCAGGCATGGTGAGGAAGCTCTCCACCTTCACCTCCCGCGTGTGCTCCGTATGGAAGACGGGCCGCCAGGGGGCGCGCTGCGGCACGCAGGCCAGGTCGGCGGCGCGGATCTGCAGGCCGCGCGGACAACACTTGCGCGCGCACACGTGACGCGCACAGGCCGGCTGCAGCGTCTCCGGATCCAGCAGGGAGCTGGCCTGGTGCATGCTGATGTTGCAGACGCGTGCCGCCGTCTGCTGCTCCAGGGCGGCCTCGTCCCCAGGCGGAGGCGCGGTGGCCGGCAGCAGTCGGTCGGCGCAGAAGCCCCCGGCCGGGAACAGCGCGTCCGCACAGCGCAGGTACAGCTGGCCCGTCGTCAGCAGGTCGAACTGCTGCTCGGGCTGCACGCCGTCCAGCCAGAAGTGCTTCTCCTCACAGCTGACGTTGGCGTACCGCACGCCGGTGCGGTCGTCGGGCGGGCCGAGCCTCCTGCTGCGGCCGTTCAGCAGGAGTGGGCGCCAGCGCAGCGGCGCCGGCACTGGCTGGCACGCGGGCTCCCCGGCCGGCTGGCTTACCAGAGCCTCGTCCGGCGCACAGCACTTGAGCACCTCGGCCGTCTGCTGCCAGCGCAGGCCGGGCAGGTTGTCCGGCAGCGGGCAGGCGGCCGCGTCCGGAGCGGACACGGCGCCCTGGCCGGACACCGGCGCCGACAGGCACGCGGCCAGCACAGCCAGTGACAGGAGGTTCAGCGTCGCCGCCCTCGCTGCAGCCAGCATCCTCATGGGCGTGCTGGTCACGATCAGCCCTGGTAGTCGACTCGTCTTGCTGTTGCTCAGTCGCGGCCCTCCGCGGTCGGATCAATCTGGGCCCTCGGATCCGGACATAGATCGCAGCCTCCTCATGGCCAATCGTAGGCCTCCCTGATGGCTAGCCGCGGTCACTGACCCCGACAGCTAGTACGACGATCACGTTCTTCCGTTTCGACGTTCGGTCCCACTCCTCTACTGGGCAGTCACGGTCCACCGACCAGGCCGCTAGCCAGCCTGCTGATCCGTCCACCAGCCAGCCTGCTGACCCGTTCACGTTGCTGGACGGCACGCCACAGCCGGAGTCCTCTGACGCGGTCGCCGCTCACCGTTCCGCGTCCTCCGCCCAGTCCGCGCTGCTCCGACCCCTGCCACGCGGCGTCTGGCGGCGGCCGGATCCGCGCCCCGCCGGCCGGGCTGGCCGCGTCGCAGCGCCCCCTTCAGCCGCCCCCGGCACCTGCGCCGCGCAGCCCGCTGGCACCAGCCAGTCTTGGGCAAAAACCAGCTGCGAATGAGGGGACGTGGGCAACGGACGGCTATTGCCGGGTGTGAAGCGCCGCGGGAGGGGAGTGGAGTCACGTCGGGAGGAGGGTGGAGCGGCGGCGGGAAGGGAACAAAGCTGCGACGAAAGAGGAGTGGAGCGGCGGCGAGAAGGGAACAGAGCTGCGACGAAAGGGGAGTGGAGCGGCGGCGGGAAGGGAACAAGGCTGCGACGAAAGGGAGGTGGAGAGGCGGCGGGAAGAGAGCAGAGCTGCGACGAAAAGGGAGTGGAGCGGCGGCGGGAAGAGAGCAGACCTGCGACGAAAGGGGAGTGGAGCGGCGTCGGGAAGGGAACAAAGCTGCGACGAAAGGGGAGTGGAGCGGCGGCGGGAAGGGAGCGAGCCGCGGCGGGAGGACAGTGGAGCGCGTCAGGAGAATTGGCTCGCAGCGGAAGGGGAGTGCAGCCGCGGGGGAGGCGAGTGGAGAGCGGGCGGACATGTCTCGCGTGTCTGCTGTGGTCATAATGTCCTGGCTGTTTTACGTGTGACGAGCGAGAACAACCTCAGGCAGCAAGGGCAGCGTGGGAGCAGGGCAAGACCGTTCGGGCCTCGAGCTGTTCACGCAAAGCCTTGCTTTGACAGAGTCGGGATGGAGAAGAGGGACACGACACGGCAAGGCCAAACATGGGCAGCAAGTACCTACTCAGCTCGTGAATTCATTAAACGCAGCAATTTTTTCGCAGCTAGATGTCATGTTACGCCGCTATTACCACTGTTACCGTTCGCCAATATTCCGGCAATCATATTATTATTTGTCACCAGATTTACAACGCAGTGATAGAGAGTTATACCCGACCCACACAGGATGTCAAGAACAGCGACCAATTACCCCAATATGCAGGTCAGCAACCAGTGCTGGCCGCTCATAAGCTTTGCTATGCTGTAACCTTGACTCAATGCACGCAATCACCCCTCGGTGAAGCAAAGAGTCGACTTTGGCACCTATGTGCAAACAGCGAATGGTGCACAATTGCCGGGAAGCCAGGCCATGGAACCGATAGTGAAAGGACCCGGTGGTGCGCAAAGGAAAGTTGCGCTACTGTTTCGCGTTTTGCGCGTGGATGATAACAAATATGAGAGGGTATGTCAAGGTAACGAACGTGCAAAACGTCTTGTGTAAGTTGCTGAAACATAAACTATTCATCTACGTGTTTCCGTTAGATTTGTTTAAAATTTCACCTCGTCTTATCATTTAACTGGCGCCAGCAATAGTTCCTAAGGGTTGAGCTATTTCATTACAACCGATACGATGCCGATACAACCGATACAAAATCTAAACTCGTCTGGACTTTGAACTTCCATGGATGGCCCGGTCGCGCCACGCTCTGAAACCAGCGCAACGGGAACGCCCGCAATTCACTCGAAAATTGAACCGAGGGTCTGCGCTTGGTGAAAATTTATGCCCAGCAAAGGCTGGCAATCATGTGAACTTAGATGGGCATCCACTGATATCCATCAATGAAGGGTTGACAATGACCTCAACCCAGGTCGGCGGCCAGGTCGCAGTCTGCAGCCACTTTACGCGCACTGGCGAAGGTGCGAGGTCACGGTCTCTTTTGACACAGATGGCTTATGAGTTCATTAGCCCACGACTTGACCCCGCAACTTATCACCTGTGGAATGTAAACACGACGATCGCTAGGTTAGTCGGCCGCACAAATTGACACGACTCAGCCCGAGCTGCCATTGACAACCACCTCAACACACGGTGGTGACGCGTCACAGGCAGCTGCGCCTCCACCAGCGGGAGCCAGTGTCTCGTCCACACGGGGAGGTGACACGTCGCGGGCAGCTGCGCCTCCGCCAGCGGGAGCCAGTGTCTCGTCCACACGGTGGTGACGCGTCACAGGCAGCTGCGCCTCCGCCAGCGGGAGCCAGTGTCTCGTCCACACGGGGAGGTGACACGTCGCGGGCAGCTGCGCCTCCACCAGCGGGAGCCAGTGTCTCGTCCACACGGGGAGGTGACACGTCGCGGGCAGCTGCGCCTCCGCCAGCGGGAGCCAGTGTCTCGTCCACACGGGGAGGTGACACGTCGCGGGCAGCTGCGCCTCCGCCAGCGGGAGCCAGTGTCTCGTCCACACGGGGAGGTGACACGTCGCGGGCAGCTGCGCCTCCGCCAGCGGGAGCCAGTGTCTCGTCCACACGGGAGGTGACACGTCACGAGGCAGGCTGCGCGTCCACCAGCGGCCAGCCAGTGCCTCCTTCCACACGGGGAGGTGACACGTACAGGCAGGTGCGACCTCCACCAGCGGGAGCCAGTGTCTCGTCCACACGGGAGGTGACACGTTACGGGCAGCTGCGCCTCCGCCAGCGGGAGCCAGTGTCTCGTCCACACGGGGAGGTGACACGTCGCGGGCAGCTGCGCCTCCGCCAGCGGGAGCCAGTGTCTCGTCCACACGGGGAGGTGACACGTCGCGGGCAGCTGCGCCTCCACCAGCGGGAGCCAGTGTCTCGTCCCGTCAGCTAGAGACCCGTCCAATCGCTGGCTCAGGGCGTTGGGTCCGTGCTTCGAGCCATTCACGACGTGGTGAACGCAAATGTAAATCGGGTCGAGTGATTCACAGCCAGGGTGGCGGCGCGGGGGAGATAAGCAGACACACGTGCTTAATCAACGCCAGCGTCCTATCTGACGGCGGGCAATTAACCAACCATTCTGAGTCACCCGTATTTGCTTTCATTTCGCAACCTCAGGAATCCGTTCTAGGACCCTCGCGTTTACTTTCCAGTCGCAAGCGAAGTGTATGAGCCCATGTGATGGGCCAACGCGCAGTTCCGAAGTGTCATTGGACCAAAACGGAGAAATACACGTCAAACGGAAAACCCCTCTTTCCAGGTCTCTTACAATGTCATGCGTCATTTTCTTCTAGTTTTGTGCATTTTGGCAAGTTTAGCCAGCCGCGACATACTATATGTTTGCCATCCAGTCCTGCAAGAGCTCTCAGTGGGAACGATGATCCCATTTCGTCGGTTCTGGAATGATGAATCGCACCCTCTAATCGCAAATTGCCTTTTCATAACGATCTGGATGTCGATCCGTTGCCCATTCTAGCGGTCCGTTTCGCCTTCAAACGCATGAGGAAACACCGGGACATGCCTAATGCGAATCAGCGCAGACTGCGTGAGTTAGAAGCGGGCGATGCGCGCGAACTACCTTCGGACCTGTAACCGGGACAGTTCGGACACGACACTCGGTGGCGTTCGATACGGCACAGGTGCGACCAAGGTCTGCAGCGCGGCTGCTGACTCAGTGACGGCGCCGGCGGTGACGATAGCGTGGCACGTGACCCCCTTGAACCCAGTCCACCTCTGAGCATTCAGGGCGAACTCGTCCGGCCTTGAAGCAAGACATGCGTGTGCGTTTCGAACGCGTGATTTCTATGCCAGCGCAAAAAATCATGGAATTGCCTCGGTGGTCGTTATCTTCGAAGCCGGATGGAAACAAGTCGTGGCACGATGTTCGACATGTATTGCAATGAGCTGCATGAGGATAGACAAATACACTTCCGAGAATCGGTGACACCAAACGCATGTCTCTCACAACCAGTATCACCACCGGGCCGACGGCTGAACCGCCCTTCGGAGTATCACCACGCGCACGTAGTGAACATTCCCACTGCAAGAAAACACACAGTTTCATAGTTTCGTCTAGGCGGACACCAATATCGCACAAAACAGCTTTGGAGGAATGCATACGTTTTTCGCACACCTTAAGTGATAACGAACCTATAAAAATTTCCTCAACCCTGCATCAAGATGGGCGCCAATCTTCACTCGGGCCCTCACACTGGTTCAAAACGAGGACGGCAGCAGTTTGTGGTACATATTCAAAGACACAATGCAAAGACAATGATAACCTTGTCTGCCACCACCAATGACGTTATACGTCGTCCATTTATGATTCGACGAATTTAAACCCCTTCTTCGTCAGATCTTCTTTGGCCTCCTTGATTTGCTGAGGACAAAAGAAACATCGTTACACATCTTAGAGCGTGGTTAATACTGCATCTTCAAACACACAACTCAGGGTCAGCCAAACGTCGACGGTTAGAAGTCGGGCAGAGAAGGCCTCAGCTGGACGCCAGAAGTGAGGCCTGGGAAACACTGACGCAGGCGTCAGACAAACCCGGGTCATGCGCCACCAGCGTTGCGAGACCATTGCTGCCGTGTTCCGGGAATCAACAGCGTCACGGAAGACTAGCGAGCCACTTCCCGTCCGGGTACCAGCAGCCGGGTACCGGGTACCGGGTACCAGCAGCCGCACAGCCGCCACCTCAGCGACGTCCTGCGTGCCGTATGGCCCATGCCCAGGTAGGCCCAGGAT